AGACCAGCCTAGGGAACACAGCAAGACGCTGTCTCTACCCAAAAGAAAAACAAACAAACAAATAAACAAAAAAAACAAATCTAGCCAGGCATGGTGGCATGTGCCTGTGGTCTCAGCTACGTGGGAGGACTGCTTGAACCCAGCAGGAGGTGGAGGCTGCAGTGAGCTGTGAGTGGGAGTGAGCTACTGCACTCCCACTAAGGGTGACAGATTGAGATCTTAGAAACAAAACAAAACAACAACAAAAAACCAAACCTCAGTCAGGTGTGGTGGCTCATGCCTGTAATCCCAGCACTTTGGGAGGCCGAGGCAGGTGCATCATTTGAGGTCAGGAGTTCAAGACCAGCCCAGCCAACATAGTGAAACCCTGTCCTTACTAAAAACACAAAAATTAGCTGGGTGGTAGTAGTGTGTGCCTGTAATCCCAGCTAAGTGGGAAGCTGGGGCAGTAGAATCACTTGAGCCTGGGAGATGGAGGTTGCAGTCAGCCAAGATTGCGCCACTGCACTCCAGTCTGGGTGAGAGAGTGAGACCCTGTCACCATAATAATAAAAAAAAAAAAAAAAAAAAAAAAAATCCAAGTGTGGTGGCACCCACCTGTGGTCCCAACTACTCAGGAAGCTGAGGCTGGAGAATCATTTGAACCCAGGAACCCAGGAGGCGGAGGTTTCAGTGAACTGAAATCATACCTCAGCTCTCCAGCCTAGGTGACAGACTGTGGTCCTGCCTCAAAACAAAACAAAACAAAACAAAACAAAACAAAAAAAAAACAAAATCAAAACCGAAGCCAAAACCAAACCTGTATGTGAATGTGCGTAATGCATTGTTCGTAATTGAAAAAAGGAGAAGCAACCCAAATGTCCATCAAATGACATTTGATGAATAAATACACTGATTATTTGCTTATTTATATTGAATATATTGAAATATATAGAATATATTATTCCATATAATAGCATATTTTTCAGCCACATAAAGGAATGAAGTACTCCTAGAGCATGGATAAACCTTGAAAATACTATGCTCAGTAGAAGAAGCCAGATATAAAAGATTCCATGTTGTGCAATTTCATTAATGTGAAAATTCCAGAAGACGTAAATCTAGAGACAGAAAGTATTTGAGTGGTTTCCAGGGCTGGGAGGTGGGGTGAGTTGGGAGTGGGGATTAGTGGGCATGAGGTTTCTTTTCGGGGTGATAGAAATGTTCTGGAATTAGACAATGGTGATTTTAACTTTATGTTTTGAGACACAGGGTCTTGCTCTGTCAAAGAGGCTAGCATGTAGTGTTGCAATCATAGCTCACTGGAGCCTCAGCCTGGGCTCAAGCAATCGTCTCTCCTTAGCTTCCCAAGCAGCCAGGACTACAGGACAGGTGTGTGTCACTTCATCTGGCTAATTAAAAAAAAATTTTTTTTTGTAGAGATGGCAGTCTTGCAATGTTGTACAGGCTGGTCTCAAATTCCTGGCCTTAAGCGATCCTCGCCTCTGGGCCTCCCAATATGCTGGGATTATGGGCATAAGCCACTATGCCAGGCCAATTGTAACTTTAAAAGGGTGAATTTTATGGTCTATGAATTACATCTTGATTTTAAAAGATTGTGAGAGCTCTGCCCCCAAGAGCGGAGGCAGAGATCAGGAGAAAGCATGGAGTCAGGCAGGGGCCAGGGATGCTGCACACCCACAAAGACCCTGTAGAGCTTCTGACTTGTCCCTGGTTGGGGCGGGGCCCTTGCTGCTGTTGCTGGCCCTGGACCTCGGGGCTAGGCACATCCTGAAGGCAATCATTGTCTTAGATGTGAGGAGTTCTGGGCTTCAAATACAGAGAAAAGGGTATGTAGGTAAAAATGAGTTTGTTTTAAGAAGTAAGAAAGAGCTGGCAGTGAGAAAGTAGAGGCAGTAAGTGTAGATTTCTTTTGTAGCTAAGCAATAATGAGGTCTTCAACCAGGCTGAGGGTAGGATTTCTTTCTACGGTTATATTTAGGGCAATCCTAAGTAGGTTTTTTGTCCTCCAGTATACGGGAAAGAGGAAATCAACAAGGGTATATGAACAACACTAGAGTAAAAATGGAAAATAAAAGGAATATGTATGAAGGCTGCCATGTAAGGCCAGGCTGGCTGTGCACTGCACAGCTGTAGGAGGAACAGGTACACCGAGGTCTAGACGCAGCCTCTCCCAGAGATGTGCCCTGCACAGTCCTTATCCTGACAATAGAGAAGCTCCCTCCTTTGAGACAGGAGCCGTTGGAGAGGGGAGGAGGGTACATGGAGACACTGAGGCAGGGTGGAAGGGAGTTCGGGAGCCGCGTCTTAGGCTTTCTTCTTTGTCATTTAAATAAGAGGGGAGGTTCTCTTTGGAGATTAAAAGAGAATAACAGTTATTTGTGGGAGATCAAAAAAGTCTGGAGCAACAAGACAAGACAGGAAGTCGAGAACATTAAGGACTTCTCTCAGGCCAGATGACCTGACTTCTAGTGGACTCAGCTGCCACCACCCTGTAACTTCCTCCAGCACCTGAGCCAGGTGGCTCATGGGGATCACTCAGTGCTGGAAACCAGAGAGCAGGGAGAAGTCAGAGGAGCACAGCTTCCTAAGGGGGTGGCCGATGGGGCTGAGTGGAGAGGAGAAGGGGTCTGTGTGTGTCATTCACCTGGGGTCCATCCCCGCTGGGCAGAGAGGAGAAGGGGTCTGTGTGTGCCCTTATTCACTTGGGGTCCGTCCCCACCAATCGGAGAGGACAGTGTGTCTGTGTGTGACCTGGGATCCATCCTGGGGCCTTTCCTGAGTGCCCAGGAGGAGCTGGAGCTGGCTGGGTCTCAGCACTGTTGGAGCTTAGCGGGGTGCAGTCAAGACTGGCTAAGTGACAAACCTGGACAGAGATGCCAGGAGGAGGGCCAGTGGCAGAGCTGGGAATGAGGCCAGCAAGGACCCGGTGCAGATCTGGGCATTCAGAGGTGGAGAGCTTGGGGTCCTAGGGTGGGTCCCGACTGGGGTGGAGGCCACTCATGTGAAAGGATAGGGTCTGAGGAGGAGGGCAGAGGACAGGAGAGAACGACAAGAGGACACCCTGGATACGGGTGGGAGGCAGGACTCGAGAGCTGGCCTTGGCTCCTGGTGCCTGTACCCCACCGCGTGCTGTGCGTGTCATGTCCACCCGGTACAGTGCCTCTTCCCGTGCTGGGCAAACCCTTCATGACTCTTTGCTTTTGTCACTTGCCCTGCTGTCATCATAAACACAATTTCACAGCTACTCTAAAGTCCAGCTTAGTGTACAGTAACATTCTCAATCCTCTGCTCCCATTACATAAAACATTTCTTCCTGAATTTTGTCATTCAAGGAAGAGTCTTGTGGTGGTAGCCTTTCTGAAGATATTTTTCTGATTCAAATGCAAATTTGAGTTCTATACTATTCATTCATTGATTTGACAAATCTTTGTGAGTCCCCACCCTTTGTGGAGCACAGCAGGGACCAGAGGGATGAGGTCTCACCCCTGGGCGCTGACGCTGCAGCCGGTTGAACAGTACAGCAATACAAAAGTGCATCAGACCAGAGAGGAGCGGTGCTGTGTGGAACTTCAGGGAAGGGAGGTTAGGGGAGGTCCCTGAGGAGATGCCCACAGGGTCCACTTGGATGAGGTTGGGGAGGGAGACACACAGACATTTGGGGAAAGAGCTTCCTGAGCCCCAGGGCAGAAAGGCCCTAGTGAGGTGGGTAACTGGTGTGCTCAGGCCCAGCCAGGGTGGCCGAAGAGGGAGTACTGGGAGAGTGGGGTGGCAACCAGGCCAGACAGCAGCCGGAGGTCTCGCAGGCCCGATTCCCTTGAGCAAAGACGGATACAGGAGGGCGCATGGGAGGGGAGTGCAGGGGCTTGAGAATGCAGGGGCTGGCCTAGTCAAGAGCTGAAGAACAGACCCACCACCCACTCCCCTCTGACTTCTCCCCTCTGGCTTCCACCCTGAGGGATCCCCATGATCCACTTACTCCTCTCCCACCCCGCAGGTGCTGGGCAGCCTTTCTGTGTGACATCCTGAGGGTGAACAGGTGGCAGGATGTGAGCTGGGAGGGGAAGCGTAGAGAGGTGTGAGGGGCCGCAGGCGGAGCGGGAGAGGCCCAAGGTGATGGGGAGGTGGCGCCTGCAGCTGCTGAGGGGACAGTGACTCTGATGCAGGGAAATTCCAAAAGCGTACCCTGCCCCCCTCCCTTCCTCAAAGGGGCACTGATGCGGCTGCCCGGCGAACACCTGTGACGTATAAGCTAAGCACAATAATCCTCTCCTCCTTTTTTCTGGAGTGTCGTCTCTCCACCTGTCTTGCAGCTGGCGCAGCTGCATGACCTGCTCTAGAAAGTGGGGTGCAGCAGTTGTCTGCACCGGCTCCCCAGGAGCACCTGGACTTCGCTGAGCAGAGGACAGACAGCCTTGCATCTGCCTCCCCCTCCTGCTGTGGAGACTGGAGCAGGTATTCCACCAGGAGGAACAGAAGCATCATTCTGAGAATAAAATTGCAGGACAAGCCTTGGACCACACTGCCAAGCTGTCCAACAAAACCTGAGACGACCTGCCTCTGGAATTCTCTGTGAGCATAAGCCACGCAGGCAGGGTCGTGAAATCACCCGCAGCTCGAGATGCCCTGGCCCACAGACAGGCTGGGGCTGAGGCCACAGCAGCACATTGGCTCTCCTCCGAGGGCAGCGTCACAGCCAGCACCGGCTCACTCTCTCCATGGCGCACGCCTGCAGGGCGCGTGACTTGCTGGTTACTTTATCTTTTCTATGACATTCTCTAGGAATTACTTCTTTTTTGGTGGAGAAGAACCGCCACTTCTTTCATAATTAGGTAACTCATGGCATCCTACTTACCTACTCTTCTCAAAATGATTAATTACTAGACACACAAAAAATATAATTTATGTCTTAGGAAAGCAGCCTTGGAATAATTTCAGGCTTTTAAAATCATGTTGGCCTTCCTGCAGATCTGATAGTATTGTGAGCTCATATATCTTACCACTGTGAAGTCAGAGTAGAAAATACATCATCTCTTTCAGATTCCTGGAATAACTTCAGAAGTTCTGGATCCCCAGATAAATGTGCAAGAATGCGCAATTCAATCTGTGAAAAGTCTGTAAGGCAGAATTCTGCATTAAGTTAGAGTTTGCCAGCAGCGTTCCTCGTGGGTGCTGCCCAGCTGGCCACCCTCAGACTCTCCTCACTCAGCAGCCTGAAGGTCCACATGCCCGCCTCCCATCTGCCAGGGTCCTCTGGCCTGTGTCAGGAGGTGAGAGATGAAACAGGGAGGATGGTGCAAGATGAGGAGGCTCAGGAGTGAGTGAGAGTGTGTGTATGGAGGGGAGCTGTTGTTATAAATAGGATGACAAATTACCCTATTTATAGGTTGCATCAACAAAGTGACATTGAGCAAAGGCACAAAGGCGGCAAAGGAGGGCACCAAGATGGTCTCTGGGGAAGAGGAATGGCCTGGGCAAGGGCCTGGAGTGGAGGTGACTCTGAGCTAGAAGGAGCAGGGCAGACAAAGCACAGGGGTGGAGGGCAAGGGTACCTGGGATTTAGATATGGTGACATGAGGGGACACTGGAAGCAAAACTTGTCACTATGTACTGTGCCTTAGAATTTATTTGAAAGTGGCCAGGCGCAGTGGCTCATGCCCGTGGCTCGTGCCAGCACTTTGGGAGGCCAAGGTAGGCAGATCACCTGAGGTCAGGAGTTTGAGATCAGCCTGGCCAACATGATGAAACCCTGTCTCTACTAAAAATATAAAAATTAGCTGGGCATGGTGGTGCACACCTGGAATCCCAGTTACTTGGGAAGCTGAGGCAGGAGAATCACTTGAACCCAGGAGGCAGAGGTTGCAGTGAGCAGAGGTCATGCCACTGCACTCCAGCCTGGGCGAGAAGAGTGAGAGTCTGTCTCAAAAAAAATAATACTTTATTTGAAAGAATGAATTCTACAAGGACCTTTGAATTATTCAATTTCTAAACATTTGAACTCCATGAAAATGCATCAAGTAAGCTACAGCAACGTACCTGCTGCTAGAAAGGTGTGGCCTCTGGATGAAACAAACATGGCCCTTGGGGAGATGGTGAGAATCTCATCTTCTTTACCTGAATTGTTTTTTCAAGAGCATTTAGTGAATTTGGTCATGAACTGACTCATAGCTAGTCCTCCATACAATATTATTTGAATATTATTCTAACGTCAAGAGTTAAGATGTAAAATTTTTCTGAATTTTTTATTAATTTAAGTTTTTTAGAGATGGGAGGGTCTCACTTTATTGCTCAGGCTGGAGTGCAGTGGCACAATCATAGCTCACTGCAGCCTTGCACTCCAGGACTTAAGCAATACTGCCTCAGCCTACCAAAGCAGTGGGGACTCAGGTACACACCACCATGACCACCTAATTTTTAATTTTCTTGAGGGACAGGCTCCCACTATATTGCTCAGGCTGGTCTCAAACTCTTGGACTTAAGCGATCCTCCTGCCTTGGCCTCCCAAATTGCTGGGATTGCAGTTGTGAGCCAAGGCATCTGGCCTTAATGTAATTTAAAAAATAACATATTACTACTGAAAGCTAACTAGGTTTTCTGATTTCAAATTTTTCTGTTCTTGGCCAGGCCAGTGGCTCACGCCTATAATCCCAGCACTTTGGGAGGCCAAGGACAGTGAATCGCTTTATGTTGGAGTTCAAGACCAGCCTGACCAACTTGGAGAAACCCTATCTCTACTAAAAAAAACAAAATTAGCCAGGCATGGTGGCACATGCCTGTAATGCCAGCCATTCAGGAGGCCGAAGCAGGAGAACTGCTTGAACCAGGGCGGCGGAGGTTGCAGTGAGCCAAGATTGTACTATTGCACTCCAGCCTGGGCAACAAGAACAACACTCTGTCTCAAAAACCATATATATATGGCCAGGCACAGTGGTTCACGCCTGTAATCCCAGCACTTTGGGAGGCTGAGGCAGGTGGATCACGAGGTCAGGGGTTCGAGGTCAGCCTGGTCAACACGGTGAAACCCTGTCTCTACCAAAAAAACAAAAATTAGCTGGGCATGGTGGTGCATGCCTGTAGTCTCACCTATTCTGGAGGCTGAGGCAGAAGAATGGCTTGAACCCGGGAGGCAGTGGTTGCAGTGAGTTAAGATCGTGCCACTCCAGCCTGGGTGACACAGCGAGACTTCATCTCAAAAAAAAAAAAAAAAAAAAAAAAAATTCTGTTCTGGCTAGAATTCTTAATGAAAAGAAGAAAACCCAGGCGTTGACAACTGAATGCATTTCAGTAAAAGCAATCTTGAAACTCGGAGCCTCACTGATGGAAGGTCTATGTGGGAAGCATAGCTGTGATTTTCCCACTGAAGACATTTTAAAGGGGCAGTGGGGGATGAAGCTGCTCAGGATCCCTCTGCATGGACACTGTTTCAGGACAGTCAAATGTATTTTAGAAAGGACTACTCATTGGGACCAGGCGCAGTGGCTCACACTTATAATACCAGCACTTTGGGAGGCCGAGACGGGAGGATTACTTGAGCCCAGGAGTTTGAGACCAGCTGGAGAAACATGGTGAAACCCTGTCTTTACTAAAAATACAAAACATTAACTGGGCGTGCCGGTGGGTGCCCATAATCCTAGCTACTTGAGAGGCTGAGGAGGAGAATTGCTTGAACCCAGGAGGCAGAGGTTGCAGTGAGCTGAGATAGCACCATTGCACTCCAGCCTGGGCAACACAGTGAGACTCCATCTCAAAAAAAAAAAAAAAAAAAAAAAAAGAAAGAAAGAAAAGAAAAGAAAAGAAAAGAAAAGAAAAGAAAGGACTGCTCATCAGGTTTCCTTGTTTTGCTAGGACCTTCCTGCACAGCGGGGCTCCCAGCAGAGGGGCAGGAGTGCCACTGCCAAGGGTAGGAGTGTACGGGGCATGGGTGGAAAAACTCTCATTTGCTCAGATTGAAACTTTCTCTTTTTTAGAAATGCACCCATCAGTGTTACAGCAGAATAGCTTAAAAGAAAGAAGAGTGTCAGTATGCTTTTATAAATGTTTCCAGTAATTTTCAGACTTTAGTAAGCACCAGGGCTATTACATGTTTGTTTTTTCTTTACTGGGAGGCTAGGGGGAGAGATGGTAGGAGGAAAGCTACTTTCCTGATACAATTATCATCTATTTCTATTTGTAAACTGCTAACAGGGAGGTACCATATCACTTTAGCTGTTTATTATTTTTTCAATGTATATTTAAATCCTGTTCATGCAAATACAGAGAACTTCAGGAAAGTGAAGCAGTTAGCTATATAGAAAAGCAATGACAAGTAACTTTTAAAAAACCTTTAAAAGGGCACAGTGGCTCATATTTGTAATCCTAGCACTTTGGAAGTCCAAGGTGGGAGGATCACTTAAACCCAGGAGTTTGAGACCAGCCTTAGCAACATGGCAAAGCCCCATGTCTACAAAAAATACACCAACACACACATACACACAAATTAGCCAAGTATGGTGGTGCATGCCTTTAGACCCAGCTGCCCAGGAGGGTGAGGTGGGAGAATCACCTGAGCCCAGGAGGTCAAGGCTGCAGTGAGCCGTGATCACACAACTGTACTCCAGACTGGGTGACAGAGTGACACCCTGTCTCAAAAAAGAGTTACCCAAGACTTTAGCAAGGTAGAAAGAAATGAGTTACCTTTAAAATTCTTAGGTTTAGTAATCTGAATTGGGTGCTTGGAGATACCTTGGATATTCTGTTAATAATAAGAGAATAGCTTTAGTTAAAATATCTACTCTTAATCTGTACTACTTAGGGTATTTAACATACATCACATTTTATTAAATATTAAAACAAGTAAGCCAATGTATCATGCATAAGCACATTAATACTTAATACAATTGTCTAATATCAAAATGCAGCTTTGGTGAATATACCACTAAATATACTCAGCAGATTTGAGAACAATTCCCTTTGACTCTAGCCTGTGTGACCCTTAACATAATTATGTACAGTCATTCTTTTTAGAGCAGCACAAATTATGAACTCAGTTAACTTAAAAATTCCTACATTACATGCTATAGGTAGGTTGCTGTGAAATTTGTGTATTGTACGTTTATTTTAGAACATATTTTAAGATGAAAATTCTGGTCTCTTTGATGCTGGTCATTCCCCTTGCTCATTGCTCCTGGCACTTGGTACCTGCCTCTGCCTTAGCCTGTACTATACCTGGTGGCTTGGGCTGTGTCCCCTGCAAACTGTTGGAGCCATTTGTTAAGCACCTTCACACGTTTACAACTCAGGCAATGTGCAATAGTTCACATGCTTCTAGACTGTTTCAACTATTCAAATCATGAGAATTTCTGTTACAACATCCTTTGGATTCTTGGTGGTACACTGAACAATAATCCCCTGCTTTGTCTGGGAATAGAACTCATTGGGCATTATCAGTTGGTCTTGACTCCCGAGGTAAATCTGACAAACTGTGCCAAGCATCGACGTCCTGTAGTCTTACAGCGATGCTCCTTAGATCCCCCTAGAAAGACTGGGAAATGGGAAGGCCATATTGTCATCCTCATTTTTTTTTTTTAAGATGAGTATGTGAAGGCCTTGGGGTACTAAGTCAGTGGCTCTCAAGTTTTCTATACGTTAGAATCACATGATACTTTAAAAAATACCCAATATTTATAGGATAAGCTCAATAATAATGTAGAGATGACAGAGAAAGAGCTATTAAACTTGAAAAGAGGTCAACAGAAACTAATCTAAAGAAGGGAAGAACAATGAACAAAGCCTCAGGGACCTGTGAGATAATATAAAAATACAGTATCAAATTGTGTTCTCTTAGTTCCTGGAGAAAAGAAAGAGAATTGCACAGAAAAATTTTTCTTGAATAAATAATGGCTTAAAATTCTGAAATTTAGTGAAAGACATGCCTTTTCCAATTTCAAAAGCCAAACCACCCTAAATATGGTAAATTAAAAGATAACCAGGCCCAGAAACATCATAATCAAACTGCTGAAAAACTATGATTTTAAAAAGAATACTGAAAATAGCCGGAGCAAAATGATACTTTCTATGCCGAGGAACAGCAATGTGAACGACTGCAGATTTCTCCTCAGGGACCATGTAGACCAGAAGACAGTGGAACCACAACTAAAGGAAAAAACTGCCAACTCAGAACTCTTTCTTCACCATCATTCTCAGCAAACTAACACAGGAACAGAAAACCAAACACCACATGTTCTCACTCGTAAGTGGGAGCTGAACAAGAGCACATGCACACACAGAGGGGAACCACACACACCAGAGCCAGTCAGGGGGTAGGGGTGGGGGAAGGAAGAGCATTAGGACAAATAGCTAATGTATACAGGGCTTAAAACCTAGATGATGGGTTGAGAGGTACAGCAAACCACCATGGCACACACATACCTATGTAATAAACCTACACATTCTGTACCTGTATCCCAGAACTTAAAGTAAAATAAATAAAAAAAATTAAAAAAAAATTTTTTTAATGGACTCTTTCTTCAGCAAACACATCCTCCAGGAATGAAAGTGAGTTAAAGACATTCTCACATGAATAAAAATTAAGGTATTCTGTCATCTGCAGACCTAATCTAAAAGAAATGCTACAGAAAAAATTCTTCAGGCTGAAGGGAAATGTTTCCAAAGGGAAACCTGGAACTTCAGGAATGAAGGATGAGCAACAGAAATGATCAATATCTGGGTAAATATAATAAATCATCTTTTTTGAGTTCAATGGCTTTTGCAAGCCTTATGCATCTTATTTGAAGTGATGAAATATAAAATCTAAAAATAGCCTGTGGTTGGGCACAGTGGATCACACCTGTAATCCCAGCACTTTGGGAACCCAAGGCAGGAGGATTGCTTGCGCCTAGGAGTTTGAGGTCAGCCTGATGTAAATTTACGTGGCCATTATTTAAAAAAAAAAAAAGGCAAATGATAACATGCTGGCAATAATGCAAAGAAAGGGGGAACTCTAGTACACTGTCGGTAGGAAAGTAAATTAGTGCAGCCATATGGAAAACAGCATGGAGGTTCCTCAAAAGAAAATTAAAATACCATATGATCCAGCAACTCCACTGCAGGGTATGCATGGAAAAGAAAAGAAATCAGTATAAAAATAAGTATCTGCACTCCCATGTTTACTACAGCCCTGTTCACAACAGTCAAAATAGGGAATCAGCCTATGTGTCTGCCAATGGGTGAACAGATGAAAATGTGCTAAATATACACAATGAAATACTATTCTGCTGTAAAAAGAATGACATCCTGTCATTGGCAGCAACGTGGATGAGCCTGGAGGCCATTATGTTAAGGGAAATAAATCCGTGAATTAAAACTGCATGTTTAATTCCAGTATGTATACACAGTGACAGCAGAATTGTTCACCTGTACCCCTGTGGAAAGCAACTTTATTAACCAGAGTGCAGTAACTGTGCTCAGTTGCTTCTACCTTTTGCCTTTAAGACTCCATTTATTTCAGGTCGGCATCTTTTCCTCCCCCTGTTCCCCGCAACAACTTTCCCCAGTGAGGTTGTTTCACACAAATTTAGTATGATTAGACTGATATATCACATTCTGTTTCCTATCTTGAGATCCCCTGACTTCATAAATGACTTTTAAAAATTTACATAATTATAGTTCACTCTTGCTAGTGTGCATTCTATTGGTTTTGACAAATGCATAGTGTCAGCTATCCACTATTGTAGTATCATACAAAATAGTGTTACCACCCTCAACAATCCCCCGAGCTTTACCTATCCAAACTTATTCCCAAGTCCCAGCCCTGAACTTCTGGAAACCACTAACCTGTTTACTGTTTCTACAGTTTTGTCTTTTCTAAAATATCACATAATTTGGAGTCATACAGTATGTTGCCTTTCCAGATTGATTTATTTCATTTGGCAATATGAATTTAAGATTCATTCATGCCTTTTTATGGTTTTATAGCTTATTCCTTTTTATCACTGAATAATATTTCTCAGTATGAATGTGTCATAGCTTATTTATCTATTCACCTCTAAAAAAAATCTTGGTTGCTTCCGGTTTTTGGCAATTATGAATAAAGATGCCATAAGCATTTGTGTGCAGGTTCTTTTGTGAGCATTAAGTGTTCAAATTAATTTGGTATATACCTACGTGTGTAATGGCTGGATATGACATTTAGTTTTGAAAGAAACTGCCAAACTCAAAAAGTGGCCGTACCATTTTTCATTCCCACCAGCCATGAGTGAGAGTGCCTGCTGCTCCACACCCTCACCAACAAACGGTAATGTAAGGGGTTTCTGGTTTTTTATCTTAGTCGTTCTAATAGGTATGTAGTGGGATCTCATCACTGTTTTAACCTCCCCACCTTTCTGATACCATGAATTCTTCTCATCCTTCAAGTCTGCACACAAGGAGACTTCTTCCTTCCCTTGAGGAGAAAACCTCCTCTGGCTCCCTAATCAAGCGGGCTGGGGTGTCTGCCACGATGCTCTGAAGAGGATCCTTGACATCTTCCAGTCCAAGTACTGATCACAATATTGAACAGCTGAGGATCTGGATCCCCCTTTCCAGGAGCACCTCGCACATGGAAAGTATGTAACACGTGTGTATTTACTGAATCAGTGAGACAGAGGGGCACTGGAAGCACATCAATAATGAAAATTGAATACATATAATATATAAATGGCCACCTTTGACTAAACTCCCTCCTTCTGCTTCCGCATTGTGCATACATCCCTCCCATACTGCTGATGTGCTGCTACACAGAACGCCCCGTGATATGCAGCCCAGGGCTGGGCAGCAACACAAAATGAACTCACACACAAATCTGGCCTTCTGGGAGTTACTGTCTGTCATAATGTGTGTATCACAAACACAAGTCACATAACACAGGGTTCAAATGAACAAAATAAAAGGGTATCACAGGAGACTCTCCATGGCACTCTGAGGGAAGGAGAGAGTACTTCAGGTCCCGGAGGAATGAGGCTGTGCAAATCAGCCTCACTGATGGCAAATTTCCAGGAAATCAGGAGATAGGAAGCTGCCACAGAACCACGTGTTTCTTCTGTAACCAACTTTCGTGGCCCTTCAGCAAGGCCTCTCTGGAGGAGGTACCAGCCCGTGCCAAGCTTTCCATAGCCAGTGCTCCCTGTTGGTTGTGGCACTGTGCACCAGCCAGATCTGAGAATGTCTGTTCATGTGCACGGGTTCATGTTCCCAAACACATGAAATGCTGCCATGGTTCTCTATGGGCCTCTGTGATGAAAGCAGCCATCAGACAGAGTGCTGTGCCTAAACCCCATGAGCAAATGCACACTCACAAGTGTCTATGTGAGCAATAAGCACATACAGCACTTGAGCTACCGAAGACCAAGGGTGACCGAAGTCGCTGTGGTGGGAAGCGACAACTAATGAGAGCCCGAACATCTGGGAGGAAGCTGGGTCCCACTGGGTGAGAGTCTGAGTGTGGGTGAGGCCTGTGGGTGGCCCCCAGTACACTGGGGGTGTGGCTGTCACACACCCATGAGAGCACTGAAGTCAGACATCACTCTAGCAAGCAGATGTCATCACAGACTGACACCAGCTGCTAGCACCCAGGAGAACTGTGCCTTTCGAGGAAGAAGAATAGAGGTACGATCACTACCTGCAGCCATCCTTTACTGGGAGGGGCCAGACTCCCCATTACTCCCATCTGGCAAGGAGCTGGCCACCAAGGCTGACAGCAAATGGTGATATCCGAAT